GTTCAGCATGGAAGAAGCCAGAGCAGTCTGCATCCCTATTCCCTATTGGCAATTTGGGTAACCCCTTCAGAGGATGGGGTGATAAGAATTGGAGGTAGGAATCGGCTAGGCAGTAAGGGTAAAAAGATCCCAAAGAAATGTAGCCCGTTTCTGGGCTAAAAGTCAAAACGTCCTTGGGCCTCTTAGGAACATACTCTGTTCCAAAGGCCAAAAATGTCAAAAGTATTTGGGAGCTTGTATCTAATCCTTAAAAGAATTTAGGGTTATCTCTTCAGAGGGGGGAGTGGGCATGGATTTGATCAAAACACCTTGTATGCATGTATGAAATTCTCAAGTTTTTGTAAAAAGTTAAAAAAAGAAAAGTTGTCTCAGGGAGAATTAGATCATCTATACAAGTTAGTAATTCCAGAGGGGAGAATGTTGATAGAAATGATTCCCTAACTTCTTACTTACCTTCTCAGAAAAGGGTACCCCTCTCAGATGGGTCTTACAGGTGATTTCTTAATTCCTTTGACTGAATCCTGATCAGAATTCTTGTGACATTCTTATTGTTAAATTTCCTCTATTTTTTATTCATCATGGTGAACTCTTTTTAAAGGTGGTAGAGAAATGTCTTTATAACTATAGGTAATCTATGGATGTGAATATATATTTTAAAATTCTCATTATTTTGCTAGATGTGGTGGCATGTGCCTTTAATCCCGGGCCTCAGGAGGCAGGGGCAGGCGGACCTCTGAGATCGTGGTCAGCCTGGTCCACATAGTGACTTCCAGGTGGGCTGGGACTAGGGAGACTCTGTCCAAGAAAGTTCTCATTATTTTGCTTGGGCATATGCAGAAAACTTTGTTTTCTTTCAAAAATGTTCTTCTTTTGTGTCTTCCACTATTTTTTTTTTCCTTCTTGTCTTTTTGATAGATGAAGGTTGAATTCTGGAAGCATGCTTCCAGAATGTTCTCTTTCTTCTTACTTGCCAGCACAGTTCTAGCTTCTATTATTTTTAAGTTTCTATGTAGCATTTAATGCCATGCCATCCTTCTTATGCCCACAGCTTTATAGAGGTAATCCTTTGTATTTTCTTTTAAAATTCAAAACAAGAACTTAAACTTGTTTTTCTGTCCTCCTAGGAATCTGTGTCAGAATGGAATATAGACTCTGGTCTCTTTCGCTAGAGACTTTTGGGGGATTTATTTCTGTTTGCTCATCTTTAGGAAAGTAATTTTGTCATAGCCTTAAGGGTGTCAGGATATTCCTAAACAACTCCAAACTCACTGTTTTTTTTTTTTTTTTAAATGCAATAAGGTATGGTAGTTGATTGATAGACTGTTTTAAGAAAAGAGACTGTAATCAGATCAGAGGAGAAGGAGGGATGGCAAGACTGGCAGCTGAGGGTTTTTCAATGCTGATTTGTACAATGTTGGGATGTGAGCATTGCAAATCCAATTTGCAGTCATGGAGAAGCTTCCTAGATCTGTGCATGAAGGGCCCTGAAGGAGCAGCTCTGCAAATCCAGGCCTTGTTCCCAACAGTAGATTCTGCTTGGTGGTCTAGGCTTCATTTTCATCTTGAATGGTCAGTTGGTATTGTGGTGAGCTTTAAGCTAGCAGAGATGTAGCAGTGAAACTCAAAAATGTGCAAGCCTGGAAAAATATGAATTAGAATCAGAGCAGCCAAACTAAGATGTTTATTTTCTGTCTTAAGAGTCTTTAATTCTTTAAAAAAATCTAATTTCTACACATGAAAGAAAACATGGGTATTTGTCTTTCTTAATATGTTGATTTCCAGTTTTGTCTTGCAAAAAATATAATTTTGTTGTACTTTATGGCTGAATAAGATTCCATTTTGTATAGCACATTTTGTTTATTGAGCCGTGCTGATGGGCATCTAGACTGCTTCCGTATCTTGGCTATTGTGCCACAGTGAACATGGATGTGCATGTCTCTCTATTGTGTGCTGACTTAGGTTCCTTTGGGTATATGCCCTGGACCATTTTTAGATTTTTGAGGAAGGGGACCAATGGGAGGGGGATGGGGGGCAAAAGAGAGACATGGTGAATGAATCTGCTCAAACGGTGGTGAATATGTCGAAAGTACATTATATGTATGTATGAAAAATGTATCTGGTCATTAAGGACTGCTTTACTTTCAGATTCTAGGAAAGTCTTGTTAAACAAATGGAATCTATTCACACAGTGCATAAATATATAGGTATGTGTATATATAGGTATATGTACATTGCAGATATACATCCTTAATCAGCTGGATGTAAGTAGTTATAAAGAGAGCTATTCTCTTTGTTCTTACTATCAGATTCAAATACACATGAAAAATAAAAAGCAATCTCATTAAGGGACTCCAGTGGATGCTTGAAAGCCTTACGTGGAAGTTATGATGCCATTTTTGTTTTGTTTGATTTTGTACTTATTATTTTTAGTTTTATTTTTATTGTTTTCTAATCCGTAGAGAAAAATAGATAGGAAG